GAAACAGATTCAATGTCCTGTGTATAGTAGTTTGACTCTTCTAAGGTGCAAAATTTCATGTTGGGAACAGTGCAATCAACCTTTTAGCAGTGAGGCAGGGAGAGCGAGGGAGGGGGGATGGATGGACAGCCTGGTCCTGCTCGAGTGAAGTCTGAGGTAGCACACACAGCTCAGCGTGCAGGGAGCGCGCGGAGCCGCTCGCACTCCGCTCCAGGAGCTGGGGACATCCTGCTGGTGACACACTGGCTCCTGCCAGCAGTTGGCTCACATCATCCTTTTTGGCTGACTTTCCTGAACCCAGCAGGGTGAGGGGAATCGATACGCTGCTCCCCCCCCTTGCAAACGGACAGCCAAATGTTTCAGGGAGTTTGCTGTGTGGTGTTTGCGTTGAAGCTATTTCTGCTTTGAAATAAGCACATCTTTCAGTGTTTTTTGGGGTACTGTGGTGACTTCTTCCGTAGCCTTTTTCTTGCATGTGGATGGTACGTGTTTGGGGAAACTTGTAACCGTTGTTGATCACAACTCATCTTAAGGTTTGGTTTTTACTTTTCATGCTCTATGTACTCAAAACAAAAACACTCGAGAATTAAAAGAGTATATCAACCCTGTACATCTCAGATGTCATGTCTCTACCAGAGCTGAATGAGCCACCCTTGCTGCAGGCTCTTCTCCAGGCCTGAGCCACCTTGCAGTTCTCTCTCGTGCTATTGCTCTTAGTTTCTCTTGTGGATCCTCTATTGTTCTGATGCCAGTTCTTTTCTGTATTTTAACTACTGTTTTACTACTTCTCCCCCTTTCCCTTCCCTTTCCCTTCTCCTTTTTCTTTGTTTTCTTGTCTCCACGCTCCAGCCGGCCGGGTAAGGCCAGTCCCGCCCGCCCGGAGAGCCCAAAACCACCATTTGACATGTAGGCTCTGCTCCCTCTGAGACTCTTTGCCTGCCTCTTAGCTGTTCTGTCCTGGAATGGTCTGACTCCAATCTCACACATGGCTTGTTTTGTTTGTAATTTGTGACACACACATATCAGCTGTGATTGTAGTGAAACTGTTTTGGGGGTTTGTTTGGGGTTTTTTTCCTTTTTTTTTTTTTTTCTGGTTTATTTTTTTCTTTCTTCCCAGCTGCTTAAAGGAGTTAAACAAGTATATTGTAGTAATGAGAAACATATCTTTACTGTTATAAATATCTATAAATATATATATAAGATGAAAAAAAAAATCTATATATGTCCGGGTGTTTAAAGCCATTTGTGCTTCCATGTGAATTTTAGGAAATAAGTAGGAAAAGAATATCTATATACATATATATATATACACACACACACACACACATCCAAAAAAGTTAACCAAATCCCAATGTTGAGTTTTTGAGCTGATTGTTAAATTCTCTGCTGTGTGCAGTTGGGTTATTGTATTGCCCCAGACTTGTGGGTGAACTGTCTCAGTGCTGGTAGTAGCTGTGATGCAGTTTGTGATCTACCTGTCACTCTTGTTTATTGGATGAAATAAACTCTCATTTCTGTATAATGAAGGTCTCCATGACTAGAATAAAACCATCTCTCTTTCTCTTGCTCTTTCTCTGGGTGATTCCAAACCAATGGTTGATGATAACCTAATTTTTTCATCCCGTAGAGCTTAACAAGCTGTACCTGCAAGCAGGTGCTGTCACTGATAGGGAAGGTGGAACAGATCTGCATCAACAGTGGTGGCCAGGAGCTGCAGTAGAGTGAAACAGCTTGTCAGGTGCAGAAGGTAAATCCCTTTGCAGAGGAAAACACATGGAGGGGTGTCAGGGATGGGACACACAGGTGAGATTTGCACACAAATTGCTTCTTGGAAAGGGATTCTTGCCTGGAATGTCTGTAGAATCAACAAATGGGTGTTGGGTTTCTCTGTCAAGCAGTGTCCTTTGGGCCTGTAGCTGAAGTACAGCCTAACCATGCAGGGCCAGCTCCTCCTTGGAAGCTGTATTTAGGTTGAAGTGGGATTTCTCCCCTGGTATGAACTGTGTAAAGCTGTTCCCCTGTCTCTGTGCCAAAGCAGTGAGTGCTGTGGATCTCAGATTGTGGTTGCTGCTTCTCATGGTGACAGCCATATTTCTCTGCAATTCCTGATCTCAGCACTGTCATCCCAACCACTGCAACAGATTCCCTAAGCCCCTGTGTAATGAGGGTCCAGCACCACTTCTGCAGGGAGAGACTGGGAGCACTGGGGTTGGGGACTCAGTCACTGTGGTTCAGCCCTGAGTGCTCGTGGCTGCAGCTGGCTGTGGTACCTGTGCATCTCCCCAGAGAGACTTGAATAAGCTAAAACTCTCCCTGAAGGTTCTATTCATAGTAGACACTGGTGTGGGTTGAGTGAATAGACTCAGTCTCTAGTGATTCCTCCCTGAGTGTTCCAGATGTCTCTGTCTTGCATGTTTTTATGGGTTGTAACTTCAGCTTCTACACAACTGAGGCAATAACTATTGCTTTCC